TAGTGATGACGTACCATTACAATTTATCGCTGGTTGGTGGCCATGTTTGCGTGTTTGCTTGTTGTTGGTGGTCTCTCCGCCCTGTGCCTTTTTCTGTCTCTTATTTCTTGTTATTTTTGGCCTGGTCCCTTNTGTAGGGATGCGAGGTCAATGGTCTAACGACTACGGCATGCACGACTATGAGCACACACACACACCCCCCCAACGCTGCACCATTGCACCAACCCCCCACTAGTGATGACGTACCATTACAATTTATCGCTGGTTGGTGGCCATGTTTGCGTGTTTGCTTGTTGTTGGTGGTCTCTCCGCCCTGTGCCTTTTTCTGTCTCTTATTTCTTGTTATTTTTGGCCTGGTCCCTTTTTGTCCTCGCTCTTTTATTTCATTTTTTCTTTCCTTCTAGTACTGTTTCCTATTATTTTCTTCTCTTTTTTTGTACCAGATGGCCTTGTCTCTGCTTGCGTTGTGAAGTACCAAGATTGAACCAATGGGGTGTACCTCTTTCTCTCCGGCCCGTGATGGTGACTCCTCTGGTCTCAGTTGTTATACCTCGCATAGCGCGCAGAGGGAGTGGAGGACTCCAGAATATCTGTCGTTGATTTCTATTGACTTGCGGACCCCTCGGGGCCATTTTATTTGAGTGTACCCCTTTAGGGTAAGTTAGCCTGCGACCACGGGAATCGACCGCGTCGAGTGTTGTATCAGTACGGACATACGAAGGTACTGGGTAGAGAGAGATCGGAACGGTTTTTAATGTGAAGACAAAAACATCTTACAAAGGATAGACTATACGGGAATGTTAGAAAGGCATACCCCATTAGACTACGCAGTCAGCGCTGACTAGTCTAATGGTGCAACTTTATCTTACAAAGGATAGACTATACGCTCAGCTCATTGGCACCCGGCTGGATCACTTCAGTTTATGGCTTATTGAGAGCAGGGATCTCCGGGGACGGACCCCTCCCCAGACGCTGCCTGAAAATAATGTTCATGATATTTTGGGAAAGTGAGTAGCCGGGATTCGAACCCGTACGTGAAGATTTAATAGCCAATCGTTAAACCATTCGTCAAGTCAGCGCTGACTTCGTAGTCTAACGGGGAAAGCATTTCTTTGAAAGGATACACGCACGGGTGCAAATCCTAGATGTTCACTTTCACAAGCACACCGTTAGTTCTTTTCCGACAGCGTCTGGCGAGGGGTCCGTCCCCGGAGATTCCTACTTCTAAATTCCCATTGATCAGCCGGGTGGCTACGAGCCGAGAGTGTATCTTTTGTGGGAAAGGCTTACCCCATCAGACTACGCAATCAGCGCTGACTAGTCTAGTCTAATGATGTAACTTTATCTTACACGGAACAAAGCTCCTCTTGTTGACACATTAATGAGTGTTGGAACATTATTTTTATTTTTATTTTGTTTGCCCTCCGACAATTGCAGATAAAGGCAGGCATACATAAAAAGTCGATCGTAAAGGCCGTCATGCCAAGCCAAATTAACTCGATGCCCAAAAGCTAGGAATGTTTGCCTCTAAGTCAACAAACCTTTGGGCGAAACACTACAGCTGAACCCTAGGCACGAACCTTAGATGGAGAAAACGAACAAAACCCCAACCTCATCCACCCGAAATCAAACAAAACTCGGCCCCGTCTTCCCTGGTACCCATGACACCGTATCGAACAGAAATCCGCTTTCCACCGAAGTGGTTAGGTTAAAGCTGTCGCACGCATATTTCGGCGCGCAAAAGTCTGTGCGGCATTGCTGATCGATACTGCCACCGGTCACACCAAGAGAGAAACACCCGCCGTGTTGCTCTTTCTGAGGCACCCCCCACTCAAGCCCATGTTCCCCCAGACCCCCGACACTGCCACCCCCTGTTCCCACTTCCTTACCACCTTCAACCACAAGGGCCAAGCCCTCCCCCCTCAGCACTCCCGACACCGTATCGAACAGAAATCCGCTTTCCACCGAAGTGGTTAGGTTAAAGCTGTCGCACGCATATTTCGGCGCGCAAAAGTCTGTGCGGCATTTCTGATCGATATTGCCACTGGTCATACCAAGAGAGAAACATCCGCCGGCTTGCTCTTTCTGAGGCAACCCCCATTCAAGCCCATGTTCCCCCGGACCCCCGACACTGC